AATCACTTGTTTTTTATCAGCTGTTGACATATGACTTTGATGTAATGATTTAAAAATGATTTTTAAAATGTTGCTGAGTTGCCAAAAATAACCAAAATAGATATTATACGAGTATTTGTGAAACACCCAGATTTTGTTTGAATTCAGATTGTTCAGGGTGTTTGCTAGATTAAAGCATATTTCAAAAGCCGTTAACACCCTTCAAGTTAAATTTTGTCCACATGTTTAAGGGGACTATTCCACAAAACACTGCCCTGGTTTGACAGAGTACAATACATTTCTAACCTTTTTCAGAACTTCATGAATCGTTTACAGAACTTACCAAGGTAGCTCTTGTACTTTGGCCTTTTTTGACTCGTCCTTGTGAAGGCTAGAGGAAGGACGGGAAAATTATTTAAAAAAGTGTTAAAGGAAGAGGAATGCAGTTCAGTAGTTTGCCACCAGCAGGACCAGAGGGACAGCTGGAGTCTAAACAGGTACAATGCCCTGACATTCAAAACATTCATTTAAATTACAAACATTATTTCAATTTTTGTACCATATTCAGGTCGCACCCGAATGACTATTTTTTTCCTTTAGAAATTGCTAATGAGGTTTCAAATAAAGCGTTGATGTGTGTCTTAAAAAGCTTATAACTCTTCAGTACAGCCCTAAACAGCATTTGTGCAAAATGTGTTTCCAGCAGTGTTTTTTTTACTCACACACGTTGACAAAGGAGGTGATGAATTTGGGAGAGAGCGGCCTCTCCTCAGAGTTGCAGAGCTGTAGGGTCCCCCCTCACCACCTGGGTCAGCTGGATCAAACACACTGTTCACTTTCGGGTAGGGGAACTGCCTGTGGCCCAGCTCGTTACTGAAACACCAACATAGCCATGTACATATTGGTATTACAAGGACAACTGCAGATACAAACGCAGGTGTAAAATAATAATGCTTTGCTTCTTGACAGGAAAGGGACAACCTTTGAAGTTATTCCAAAACTCCTTTAATTGTACACTATACGATTCCCAAACTCCAGACGTCTGAGCGGACGTCGTAGCCCTGCCTAGACGCACTGGGGTCTATTCGCTCGGGCTGAAATCCAAACAGGAAACAGATGACACTTTAACCAACATGCTTAGGCTTAAATCCCCATTTAGTTACTTAATTTTGTATTCTGCTTTATTTTTTCCTACTGTTTGATATGTGTGAATGCACCACCAATACAACATGTCAATACACTTTGTGCAATAACAAAAACAATGTCTATTCTATATTTAGGCTTTTTGTAATATCCTACTGTAAAAGTATTTTTACAGCACATACAGTATATTAGATAACTGGTGATGTGAAGTGCTGCTGTACGTTTAGCAAACCACCAGATGTCACTGTGTGTTGCATTTAAAGCCTCAAATACTTTCTCAGCATTAAAAGGTAGGGTAGGTATTTGGGAGAAACCAGCTCGAGTGCGCTAGAATTTGAAAATACACAACTGGAAAAAATCTGCCTCTTCCTTCAGACTTCCTTACAGAGCCCCTACTCCAACACACACAAACGCACACATGACCAATGAGGGCACGAGATAAATGTGTGCACAGATGGAAGGCTGACAGGCAGGTAGGCCATCCAGATATTTTTTAGATATCTTTATGTATTTATTGTCAAAGCATTTAATATATTCATTGCTATCGGGATGTTAAGGGCATTCCATGGAATATAACAAAAAGTGTTTTTCACCTTTAACCTTTAACAGAAACCTCCACATCTTTTCCTCCTTAAAAAGGGAAGTATAAAGCTGAACGTAAACAACCTCATGAGATATTATATGTTGTTAATAAGATTAGGGGTTTTGTGATGTGAAAAGTGTTGCATTTCAAAGCCCATGAGGATATGTATGTACATTGTAGATAAACAAACTCAGTGCATAAAACCAGTCAAAATAAAACTGAATAAAGCAGTTTCACTCAAAAAATCTGTGTTTTCTGAAATTCGCTCAGCTTGTTTCTCCAATTACTTAAAATCCAAATGTCCGTGACAAAAATCCTTCATCTAGTAAAGAAAAAGATTCAAAAATCATATAAAAAGAAAAAACTAGATAGAAAGTGAGCTGTGGCAGACAATGTTGTCGCATGGTCGAAAGAGAAACGACGCCATCACAGGAAAACAAATGAAACTTACCAATACCTTGATTATAATTACGGATTTCTCTGGGTTAAAAAAATGCTGAAATATTTTAGGTTCAGTTCACATCAACATGTATATAGCCTAAACCAAGTGAGGTCGTTCTTAACAATTCTAATGAGGAAATATATATTTTTTTAATGTCAGTCCTTTGGTTCCAGACTACATAACAATAAAGAAACAGGTGCTCCTGCTTAATGTGGGTCAAAACAAATCCATTGCTCCACAAACTCTCCCCGGAGACAGCCCATCACCTCGGGCGTGTTTTCACCTGCAGCACATGCCATCAGCGCACACGTGAGGAGCGTGTTCCCTCAGTCCTGCCTCTCAGGCTCTGCGTGCCTTACAGCCTCCCTCCTGTCATTCACAGCCCTCCTTCCCCTTCATCACAGAGGCAAAGTGGTGTGGAGGGCTGCAGAAAGTCTGCTGCGGTGCAGGGAGGAGGAAGCCCCTCGATGGCCCACTTTCAGAGGGCCTGATTTAGATGCTGATGTCAGCGCGCAGAGCGGTACAGTGTGTGCTGCAGCCTGCAGCAGTTATGGAGCAGCAGCTGAACACTGCAGAGACACGCTCACATCTGCCACAGCCCAGTGTTCAGTCTGCACCACCTCAGCAAATTCATCGTAAAAATTATACTAGTGGAGAAAATAATTAGACGTGTGCTGCAACTAATGATTATTTTCATTGTCAATTAGTCTGCTAAAATGTCCTAGTTTCTTAAAAAGTTTAGGGAGATATCTTTAAATGTCTGGTTTCAAGTTCAAAACACAACATTTTTGAAATGTTGATATGATATTTACAGAGAAAACCATGATATCTGATACATTATAATGGCTGAAAACAGCATTTTGGAATTTCTTTGCATGAAATAATTATTTTTAACTTTTAAAAATATATCAAATATCAAAACAGTTATATTAACTATAAATTAGTTGACTTATTTCTGCAGATTAGACAGCAATTTTAAAGATGTTAATTATTTTTAGTGATCTAAAGTTCAAATAATTCAAAAGTTCTAGATTCTCCGATGTGAGGAATCGTACCTTCTTTTATCGGTTATCATTACGAACTGAATCTCAATCTGCAGTCAATGAGGATTATTTTTATCATGTTTACATACTACATTAAACTGTTTAATTTACATTCACAACCTATAAGAACACAGTAAATGGGAATCCAGTTTACAAAATTCTAAAACATCTAAAGAGAATATTAAATAAAAAACATAAACTGCTTACTAAGCCACACAACACGAGGCTCCATGTCGTAGAAAACAACAACTTCCAGACATATGTAGCCTTTGAAAAACCACATTGTGTAATTTCAACTTAACCATTCAAATATAAATTCCTCCTGCATCCAACTCCAATTGTTGTCGAGTTAAAGATGTCTTCTAAACTCTGTGGTCGCAATAACTCCACAGCTGTCCTCAAGTCATATTGTCTACGTCACTGAATCTGCAGCACCGCAGTGTTCATCACCTGGAGATTGTGCCAGCTGGAAACAAGAAACTGCAGCACAGATTCCTGCAGTCTGAGTTCCTGAGCCTTACACAGGGCAGGGTGTGTGTGTGTGAGGGGGGGGGGGTATGCTGATAGAGCCTCACCAAACTTAGAATGGAAACTGCTGCGGGATGTAACCCCCCAACAGAAAATAACCTCCGGTGATGACGTCACACTGAGATCGCCCCTTTAAACCACTGCAGCTCTTCAACAATGCTGTGTGTATTTACACACATAAACTGCTCATTGACAGGTTTTAATCAGTCGAGGCAATACTTATTCATCAAAATGTATCTTATAGACACACACACCAGAATATATCTGCTACCCTGAGTAAGACTCCTGTCCTGACTCATAGCACCATTTATTTTACTGAATTATGTGATTTACATACAGAATAGAGTTGCAGAAGGTATATCCATGAGAGACTCTTACTTTCAAAACTCAGAGATTTAGTATTAATCAAATAAACTAATAGATCTTTAACTCAGTCTTTAACCCCGACCTGCTGCTCTCTAGGTCACTATGTGGCTCTGTTGGTGGTTGGCTTCACAAATATTGCCCCACCTTTGTCATCCAAATGTTTTTGACATAAGCGGCTGAAATCTGGCATGCAGGCGAAGTGTTTGGTTGCGGAGGTGTGTGTTTGTTTTCATGCCACATGGCAAAAAGCGTGTGTGGCAGTGAGAGTGGCGTAAGACAAAAAGGCTCATAACTTCTGAACGGATTAATGCACTGTGACGGTCCCAGAGCCTGTTGCGTGTTGCCTGTGTGTCTGTGTGCGTTGCAGGTCTTTGGAGGGGGGGGAACTGAGGACACTTGGCCAGTGCCCCAGGACCTACATGTACTTAAGCTCAGCTGCCCGGAGTCACAGTCTCTCCCTGACTCTCCTCTGGATCCCAGGCCCTTTGCCACTCCACAACGAAGTGAATTTGTTAATTTTATGTCAATAAATGTGAGGTTCTCCTCGCTAAATGCTGTGTGTGTCTCACACGTTTGTTGCAGCCTGCAAACTGGTCGAACATGCACCATTGCACTCCGACGATATAAGAGACGTCTCTGTGTGTGTGTGTGTGTGTGTGTGTATGTTCAGAGCCAAGGTGTGTGTGTTTCAGAGCATAGGTGCGTCACACCTTCTAACACGTAAAGAATGGAAAGTTCGTCCTCCCTCTCTAGTATAAAGAAAATGCAAACAGGGGTTAGGTTTTCCACCCTAGTCAAATAAACTTCTTTTTTAACCAGGTGTGATACATGTCCCAAAAATTGGAGAGAGCAATGTTGTACTGTTAGTATGTCTTAAAAAGTACGACACCAGTAAAAGAGTATACCTTTGGAGTTAAGTGTCAAAATGTAAATAATGTGATTTCAACATTGAAGTGACGGTTAGAAGTCAACACCTGTAAGTTTAGAAGGGCTGTGTTAAAATCTCCGTAGAGGAGTATTTTCCAGCCACTATTTTTGGTGTAAGTTTGAAAGTAATTTGTTTGTTTAAGAATATGTGTGGATACAGGTCGTACTTAAGTCCCTGGTACCGAAGCATACTAATTTTCGTTGTGCTAGTAGCTGGGCTGCGCAACCCCTCTTTTAGGCGCTGCATTTGCCACTGCAGTACTGTCAGCCCGGAGAACCGCCCCACTCGTTTTGCCCCCGACTTTCTTTTTGGCCAAGGCTTGGTCTTTCCGAGATCGAGCCTCGATCTTGCCCTTGGCGCACCACACTTTCCCCGTAATTACATGGTCGTTTGTGTGTGTGGGTGTGTGTGTGGTGTGTGTGTGTG